TGGGACAGCCAAGCCCTGCCAGCTCAGGGCAGCACCAGCTGGGGGCTGTGTGTCTAGCCTTTCTCTGCTCTTCCAGAGGCCCCAGGTGCCAGTTCCAGCAAGTGCCCGGTCCTGGTGGCTCATTCCCAGCCGTGCGGCTCTGCAACAGCTACTGGAGCAGAGAGGTATGGGGAAGGGAGTGTGGGGGTCCTGGCAGGCTGGCCAGTGGGGCTTCATTCCTTGCTTTATGTTATGGAGGATCCCAAAGGGCTGTGAAAGAAATTTGGGTGCAGAGTATGACAGCCAACAAAGGGGTGTGACATCCTCCCCACCCAGACATCCCCAGATGTTGCCTTGAGCTACAGCAGGCTCAGACCTCAAGGCTGTGCTGACGTGGAGAAAATGAGCCTGGAATAAGTCCCTGGTACCCCTATGACCAGGGTCTGCACCCATATGCGCACCAGTTCAGGGGTGTGGGGCTGCCCCATGTCCTCAGAGCCATGAGGCATTGCCTGCTCTTCCCGTCTCCCCACAGAGCCCCGGGCTGCAGCAGGCAGAGGATGTGGACAAACTCCTGCTGGGGATGAGCTCACAGATTGCAGAGCGGGAGGACAACATTGTGGTGGAAGATCTCCAAGGTCTGCATTCCCCTGTGCTACAGCTGGCATGTTGGTGGGGGACCCTCTCTCCTGGGTGTGTGGGGGGGCTGGAGTGGGGAGACAGGTCCCATTGCCACCGCCATCAGCACCCAACCACATGCTCAGACCAGCTTCACCCTTGTTGATGGAAGTGCAAAGAAGCTGCAGGGCACATTAAGCATGTTCCTGGGACTGTCCCGGTAAGGGCATGGAGATGATCTCCACGTTCAGCATGGCCCATGGCAGAGGGATGAGGCTAGCCCAGCAGCTGGAGCAGTCAGGGTTACTCCTCTGGCTCTGCCTTGCCATGACCACAGCTTTGAATCCACCCACAGATTACTGGTACGGGCCCCTGAAGTACTCCCGCACCGACTATGTGGCCAGCTGGCTCCAGCGCGGACGAGATCTTGGCCTGCCCACCTACAACCAAGCCCGGGAACGATTTGGGTTGGAACCTCTCCAGAACTGGTCAGACTTTGCCCCACACCTGGAGCAACAGGTAACAGGAAACTGGTCTGGCCATGGAAAGTGTGCGGGTCAAACAATGGTGGGGCCATCCAGGCAGTAACTGGATTCTCCATCAACACAGGAGGAGGGACATCAGTGCACAGCCTGGCCTAACTCATTTTCATGCCTGCGGGGCTGTTGCATTGGAGTAACCGTGTAATTACATGGCATGAACAAATACATCCTGCCCCAGTGCTAGGCTCCTGTGTCACTGGGTGCTCTGCGCCTCCTGGAGATGAGATGCTCTGGGAGTGATGCTCAGGTCCAAGCCATGAGCTCAAGGCTGCGTGGGGCTGAGCATCCTCCCAGCCCACAGCTGTGTGATCCCTGGGAAATGCATGTTCCTTGCTCCTCCTGAGGTTTGCCAAGACCTTCTGAGGTCCTGGCAGAATTCCCTCTGCTCATGTGTGTGTGGTGGGGGTTTCTGGCCAGGTCCTGGAGAAGGTCGCTGCTCTGTATGGCAACAACACGGCTGGGCTGGAGCTGCTCCCCGGAGGCATGCTGGAGGCTGACGGCTCCCTCTTCAGTGCCATCATCCTGGACCAGTTTGTGCGCCTGCGTGATGGCGACAGATTTTGGTTTGAAAACACCAAGAATGGGTAAATGCCTCTTCCCCATCTGGCACACAGAGCAGGCTGCCTGCTGCTCTGCCAGCCCTAGTGAGACATAACAACTGGGTCTGGAGGAAAAACCATCCTCCAGCTTCCTCGGTTCCTAAAACAGTGTGGGGAACTAATCCCCCCTGCTGCCAGGCAGTGACACCCAGGGCCACCGCTTGACCCCACATCTTTTTCCCCAGGCTGTTCACAGTGGAGGAAACCAGGGAGATCCGTAACACCACCTTCCGTGATGTCCTGGCTGCCGTCACCCATGCGAACCTCACAGACCTTCAGCCCCACGTGTTCATCTGGAGTGAGGGTGAGTACAAACGGCAGGGCGCACAGAGCAAACGGCACCAGTGAGTTAGGGAGGAAAACAGGCCCAACTCGGTGAAACAGCCGGTGACTCAGTGGCACAGGGAAAGCATCAGGCTGGCAGTTTCTCAAGCCTGACACCTGCTATGCCCCTAAGCCAGCAAAATGTGTGCAAAACGCAAGGGTTGCTTGTAAGCAAGTCGGGCAGCACTGAGGTTGAAAGTGGGCTGAAGTCCATTGCATGAGTCTTGGAAAGATCTCTGGGTACAAAAACGCAACTGATGCCCTGGAAGGTCCTGCTGGGGTTAAAACTTGGCCTCTGCCTACCTCACACTGTGTCATGCTCCTCACTGATGTGTCCTCCAGCTCCTTTGACATACAAGCACACACAGGCCTGCAGGTTAAACTGAGGAGTGACCTGAAAAGTGATGAAGTGTGCAGAGGAGTTGAGCTTTGCATATTATAGCTGTGAAACATTTCCTACTTTTGCCTTTAATTGCATAAACCCCTGACTGTGCCCTGCGTGCTGTACCGCAACATCCACTCCTGCCTGGCTGCTGGGGTTGTTGGTTAACCAGGGTTAACCCTGCCGATGGGGTTGTTGGTTAACCAGGGCTGCTGAAAGGGCTGGCCAGGCTTTCCTGCAGATGTGGTTGCAATGCAGCATGAACTACATCAGATGGATTTCAGCCCAGGGAGAGCTCAGGGTTTGTGTCCCAGCATGTTCTGGGTTCCCAGCAGGCTAGGAGCAGCCTAGTCCTGTGCTGATGTGCATCCCTCACCCTGCTTCCCTGCTGTGCCATCCTTGAAATGAGCTTTCCTCTCCCCACCAAGACCCAAAAAGAGTCCTGCTGCCATGTTCAGGGTGAGGTTTGGCCAAACATGGCAGTATGCCTTTTCCTCTCAAGATCTCGCCACACCCTTCCCATTTACCACAAGCATTTTATTTGGTGCTTGTTCCGGCCCTTGCAAGGTGTTTTCATTCCCTTGGCATATACTCCATGCAATTGCACCAGGAGGATTCCCTGGATTTGCAGCATATGGATCAACAGAGGCTCTGAGCCCCAATTTGCCATGGACCAGGGTGCTTCTTACTCAGCCCATCCCATCAGGAGAGCTCAACTCTGTGCTTGGCTTGCTGTGGCAGGCAAAGGTTCAACCCAAAAACCAGGGTTGTGCCCTAAGATCTGGAGTTGAACATGAGCACCCCAGTTTTGCAGTGCTCCCAGAGTCACTTGTCAATGAACGCCACCGGCATCTCAATGCTGAGGTTCCTGGGGACGATGGAGGTGAGATGGGGAAAAGGTCCGGGACAGTTCCAGCCTGTCTCCCTCCACACAGGGGACCCATGCCCCCAGCCCCAGCAGCTGATGGCTCAACACCTGGCCAACTGCACACCCATGACCGTGCTGGACTACTTCGAAGGCAGCGGGGCAGGCTTTGGGATCATCATTGTTGTCCTCTGCTGTCTGCCTTTAGGTTTGCTACTCCATTTCTTTACCCATCCCCTCTTCCCCTGGAGAAAGGGGCTGAGTGCCCATGGACCAAGCACCTCCCAGCAGGAGCTGCTGAGTCTTGGCCACTCTTGAGGTCCTTGAGGTGGCGCGGTCCTTGGGCATCAGGCGGGAGCAAGGTTTTCATAGCGCAGCCCTGCATGGAATAAAACCATGTGGTGTTGAACTGGGGGTAATGGGGAAGAAATAAACCCATCTGCCCCAGTCATACAGGTGATGCTGCCAAAGTGGGAAGGAGTTTTGTGGCATTTTATATTTTCTTCTCCCATGTGTCCCCAGTGACTCTGTTTGTTGCCTGGATTGTTGCCGTTCTCCGCAAGAGAGACTTCAAGAAGCTGCAGAAGAAGCAGAGCTCCAGTGTGCGGAGGGAGGTGACCAGCGAGGCGATACAGGGTGAGTGGCACTGTCGATCCTGCAATGTCATTGGGTGATGCTGCTGAAGTCAGGCCACATATCGAGTCAGGGTTGGGCTTGGAGCTTATATCCAGACTGGATGTAAGGAGAAACCATTTCCCCAAGAGGACAGTCAAGCAGTGGAGCAGGTAGCCCAGAGAGGTTGTGCAGTCTTGGTCCTATCCCAGACCTGACCAGATAAAGCCTTGAGCAGACTGGCCTGACCCTGTAGCTGGTCCTACTTTGGGCAGGAGGTTGGGCGAGAGACCCTTTCAACCTCAGTCCCTTCCAACCTGAGTCATCCTATGACCCTCTAATTCCAACCCTCTCCAGATCACACCTTACCTGAAGGACATCTATGTAGTGCAATTGCCCCAGTAGCTCCAGGACAGGGACTGTATCTCCTTGCTCTGGACACTGGAAAAATACTGCCTCCCTGCTCCATGATCTCTGCTCCTCCTGTGTCCTTGCACTTGAGCTCTATGGTTTGGAGATCACAATTTTTCCCTTAACATGCGTCTGGTCGCGCAATCACCTCCAGGCTGCACCGTGGTGCAGGAGGTGCTGGGATGAATGGGGTGCAGATGTGCCTTTCCAGCTGAGCCCTGTGCTCTCTCTTGTCATCAGCCATGGAGTGGCACGGTCCCAAGACAGACAGCTCTCCTGTCTACATCCAGCTCCAAACTGACAAAGTGCTCAAAGTGCTGGATGGGAGAGGGTCTGTGCTCCGGAGCATCAGCCTGAAAGCCCATCAAAAGGTGGAGGTGATCCTCTCCAGCAACAAAGGGAACAAAGCTCTGCTCCTGAAGAGCCCCAAGGAGTATGACCTGGTGAGTACCATGATACCTTCCCCTGGGCCCTCCACCATCCTCTGCCATGGGTCACCTACACCCTGCACACCTCAGTCCTGGGCACTGTGAGATCCCTGAAGGGTGGTTGTGGCCTCCTGAGAATCACCAGGAGCGACCACCGTGGTGAAGAGTGGCAGCGCTCACATCCCGCTGAGCCTCTGCTGCTCACAGCCATTCCGTGGGGGCTTTTGCAGGTGCTGCTTTTCAGCGACCAGGCAGAGAGGAGCAACTTCATTGGGAAGCTACAAGGCTACCTGGAGGAGAGCGGCCTGGATCTGCATATGTCTGAGATGAAAGAGCAGAGCCTGATGAAACGGGCAGTCACCCAGGAGCAGAGGAAACAAATTCTGGAGACTTTCTTCAGGCACCTGTTTGCTCAGGTGTGTAGAGGTGTGGCAGGCTCTGATGCATGGAGGAAGGTATTTCTGTATTAATTAATGAATGTCACTGCTGTTGCTCTCCGTAAAAGCTGGTAAGCACAAGGAAGCTACCAACACTTTCAGGACCAAGGGACATTTTCCCTTGCAGAAGACAAAGGAAGTTCTGCTGTGGTGACGTAAATGTCTAAAGTTGCAAAGAGACTTTTGGATGATGTAACTGAGGTCTCTGTAACGGTCAGTGGTGTTTAGTATGAAAGTCACATTGTGTAGGAGAAACACGGGACTTTTGCATGGTATCTACCATGAGTTTTGTGCCAGGAGAGTCACCAGTCTTTGTGTAATAGGTTGGGCAAGTGAACACCAGCCTTCTGCTCTGCCAGCACTCATGGGATTTCTTTTGTGGAACCCAACCTGCAGGTGCTTGAAATCGACAAGTCCGATGCTGGAGAGCTGAACTTTGAAACTTCACAGAAGGCAAAGGAGTCTCTGACATGTGAGCTGAGCAGGGCTGAGTTCGCCGAAGCCCTGGGACTCAAAGCACACTCAATGTTTGTGGACTCCATGTTCTCCCTGGCTGACAAAGATGGCAATGGCTACATCTCCTTCCGGGAGTTCCTGGACATCTTGGTGGTCTTCATGAAAGGTGGGAGCTGGAGCTGGTCTTCATCTGTTGCCCTCAATGCTGCTTCTAGGTTCTGACAATGCCACCAGCGGAGTGAAGGACAAGATCCATCCAGTAGGTCCATCTGTAGACACTTCTAGAGATTAAAATTCCCTTCACTTAGGACAGCTTCAACTTGAGTGATGGGGCAGCGACAATGTAATTGTGTTTTCTGTAAGACTGTCCATGAGGGGAGCAATCTCAGATCAGTGACTTGCTGATCTGTCACCACACACAAGTCTGCCCCATCTCCTGAACAGACCATGCATCCTGTCCTTGACAGATAATAACAACTGTATCTGATACCGTATCTGACCCTCCCTAAACGACTACTGGAAAGGTAGATTCATAGACGGAGGTGGTGAATGCCAGGTTCAATCAAAGCAGCTCCCAGAAAAATCACTGCTGTGCAAAAAGCTCATTTTGAGTTTGCAAAATAAGGCATAAGAAAGAATGTGTATCTACCCAATTTTTCACCTTCCACTTGAGAAAGTCAAGCTGAAGGGTGGCACACTATTCACATTCAGTTGTTATTCAAGCTGCCATCAGCTCAGCAGTGTGTTTTCAGTCTTTTCAGAGCTGGGTGAGACTTCACTGCTGCGGGTCCAGACTCTCAAAGACAATGTTTGAAAGCACTTTTACCAATTAAAATAGGAACTTGTTCTTACTTTGCCTCTCTCCCTCCCCACCAGGGTCCCCAGAGGAGAAGTCCAAGGTGATGTTCAGAATGTATGACATTGATGAGAATGGGTTCCTCTCCAAGGAGGAGTTTCTGAGGATGCTCAGGTACTTCTCTTCATCTCTCTAGATGTTTTCACAATGTCTGTAAACACTGATGTCTTCAAAACCAGCTCACAGTTCCTGCGGTTCACTCCCCAAGAGTGTTATGTGAGAGCCCATGGGCTCAACGCTCGCAACCAAGAGCCCTTTTCTCTTGTGCAAATGGTCCGGGGCTCTGCCCTGTGTTGTTTGAAGGACTCAAGCTGTGGTCCTCTGAAGTTCCCATCTCCCCTCCTTGCTCCAGGTCCTTCATCGAGATCTCCAACAACTGCCTGTCAAGGGACCAGGCAGAGCAGGTGACCGAGTCCATGTTTTGGGCCTCAGGGTTTCAGGACAGGGATGAGCTGACGTGGGAGGATTTCCACTACATGCTGCGTGACCATGACAGCGAACTCCGTCTCACCCAGCTCTGCATCAAAGGTCAGTGGGCAGGCCCTCCAGGGCTGGGGGCGATGGGCAGCATCCAAAGCAGAGCTCCCAAACCTTCTCCCATCAATCTCTCCAACCAAGTCTCCACGGGGCACTAATGGGCCATCTGCTGTTGCTCTGCGTGCGACGTGTTCGGGTCAGCTCAGAGCCTCTCTGCACCTCACCCCTGCCCAAGGGAGATGCCTGAACCTTGTCCACTGCATCTCACTGAACAGATATTTGTCCTTTTGTCTTCTCAAAGGTATTCCTGAGGTGCTCAAGCAAAACCTGCACAACCGCGTCTCCTTCATAAAAAAGAAAGAGCCGAAAGGGTAAGCTCTGCTCCCTAGTCTTGCTGCTGCTGCTATTTCTTCTTCTTCTCTTTCTGCCCTGATGAACATTCGCCCTTCACCTCAGCCTCTCCAACAAATGTTCCCACTGGGACTTTGCATGCCCAGTGCTGGGGAGGGGGGATGACTGCACTGGGACATGCCTCACAAGCACGCTGGATGTTGTGGTGGGGCTGCTGCCCTCCTCCTCTGGCACCTGGGCACGGACAGGGGAGTAACTGCCTCCTGAAGAGCCCCCATTGCATCCACGATGTGGGGACGGGAGTTCTGCCTTGCTTTTCAGATGGGCAGGTTATCTTGGAGTGAATCCAGCCCATGTACCACGCGGTTAAAAGTTAACATAGGCAGGCTTGCAGGAAGAGCAGGATGTCTTCTCAGCTGAGCCTGAGATGGGAAGTGGGGGAATGGGGACAATTTTGGCAAGCCCTTCCTGCAAGTACGGCTTTGCATTAGACATAGCTCTCTTTCCAACAGAACCATCTCAGAGGAGGAGAAAGACCCAAACCTGGACACCATGAGCCACTATGTGGAGCGTGAAGGGCAAGAGTTGAGGAAGAGACCAGGCAGAAAGTGAGTACGCCCCCTCCTCACAGGGTGCACTCCTTGGGTTCAGGTTCAGCCTGCTCACTGTTTCTCATGTCTCCATGTCAGACCAGGTAGCCCTCTGGTCAAACGACACCGCTGCAGAGAGCCAATGCCCTTGTGACAGTGGTGCAACGTAGGGAGAGATGAGAGACCACCCCTGCAGGAGATGCCCCAGATGGTGGGGATGGTCCTGTAGCTGGGTCTGGCTGATGTGCCTCTGTCAAAAAAAAAAAAAAAATGAAGTGGCCAACTCCAGAGCCCAGGATAGTGGTTTTTAGAGCGTATGCCTTGCCTGCAGAGAGGGGTTTTGCCTGGCAGGTCCTGCCTGCGCTCCTCTGCCCCTTGAGTCATTGGTGGTTCACCCATGGGCTGTCTGAAGGAGCTGCAGGAGAGACTGGTCCTCTCTGTGGCAGCAGTAAATATTTCTAAAAGGAAGCAGTTAAGTGGTTGTTACTCTGAACCTGATTTTCTTGATAGCTTCAAGGACCTTCCTCTATCCTGGGATCAGTTTGGAGGGCTGAATATTACTATGAAAATTATCTTTTACAGTTCTTATCTACAGTTTCATTTATGAGTCAGTGTCTACACATTTGTTATCAAATTTCAAAAGCGTGCAGTCTGCAGGATGGCCTGAGATGACCTGCTGACACCACGCTCTGCAGGTCACTGCTTGTCACCAGTGTGCAGAGGTGGTCGCAGTGCTGTACAGGGAGGAAGACCCAAATCTGGGCAGCATGGCCAACTAAACCTTGAAATGACACCAGCCCTCCTGCATTTGCCAGGGTGAATCAGTACCAGCTGCACTTGTACACTGAAGCACAACGGAAGAAGTACGAGCGCAACAAAGTTCAGCAAAAGATCCAGGAGTTCAAGCGCTTCGTTGAGAATTACCGGCGCCATATCGTCTGTGTGGTCCTCTTCTCTGCTGTCACCGCTGGCGTGTTCGTGGAGAGAGCCTACTGTGAGTGGCCACCCAGCCCTGCTGCCCCAGAGGTGGAGGGGTGCATGGGCTTGGCTCCTCAAAGCTGCTGGTGCATGGAGCATGCTGGGGTGTGAAAGGTCCCAGCACAGCTGTGGGCAACAGTGCTGGTTGTCCCCTGGAATAACCAAAGGATTTCTGAGGTTGGAACCTCTGGAGGGGTCTGGTCCAATGCCGTGCACAGAGCAAGGCTGATTTCAAAGCTGAATCAGGCTGCTGGAGGCCTTGTCTAGAGAAGGTCTGAAGAGCCCCGAGGTTGGAGATCCCACCACCTCATCGGGCCCGTGCTAGTTTTTGACCATTCTCACAGTGAAAAATTTTTACTTTATATCAAACTTTACATCAAACCTTAATTTCCCAGTGAAGTCTGAGCTGTTGCCTCTTGTTCTTTCACTGTGCACCTCTGAGAGAGTTTGGCTCTCTCCCCTGTGTAACACCCATGAAGTGGCTGCAGACAGTCCCAAGGTCTTCCTGACCCATCTCCTCCAGCCCAAACAAGCCCATTTCCCTCAGCCTTTTCCCTATGTGACATCCTCCAGTTCCAAACCATCCTGGTGGCCTCCCATGGATTCACTCCAGTTTGCTGATGCCTCTCATGCTGGGGTACCCACCTGAGGACGCAGTACCAAAGTGCAGTTTCACAGTGCCCAGCAGACGACAGTCTCCTTCCTGGACCTCCAAGGAGACCCTGTCACCCAGCAGCTCTGGGGAAGTCTGACACCAAGAATTGTGTCCCTGTTCCCACACAGCCCCAGCTCACAGCCTGGTGACTTTTTCTTGGTGGAGCCATGCAGGTGGCTGTCCTCTTGTCACAGGAAGGGTCAGGGCCCTCAGTGCCGGTTACTTTGACACCCCTCTACTCTCTCTCCCCAGACTATGCCTTCGCATCCCCCAGCACTGGAATTGCACAGACCACCTTTGTGGGGATCATTATCTCTCGGGGATCAGCTGCCTGCATCTCCTTCATGTACTCCTACATCCTGCTTACCATGTGCCGCAACCTCATCACCGTCCTGCGGGAGACCTTCCTCAATCACTACATCCCCTTCGATGCTGCTGTGGACTTCCACCGCTGGATTGCCATGGCAGCCTTGATTTTCTCAGGTAGGTGGGCTGCTGGGGATGCACTGCCCATGAACCACAGCTAAAGCAGGAGGACCAGTCCCTCACGGCACAGGAGGACCAGGCAGAAGCTTGAAGACCTGTATGGAGTCTGCAGAGACATAGATGCTTTGTACTAGAGAGAGGAGGAATTGGCAGGTCCCTGGGCACATCAGCAGTCTGCAGCATCTCCATCCACAGCGACAGTGATGCTGGTTTCAGCTGGGACAGAGTTCACTTTCTTCCCAGCAGCTGGTGTGGGGCTGTGTTTGGGTTTGTGCTGAGGAGAAGCTGATCACACACTGATGGGCAGAGCTGCTGCCAGGACACTCAAGGACTTTCCAGCTTCTCTGCTGTGCCCGTGTCTGCAGGGGCAGGAGGAGCTGGGAGGGAGCACAGCCCCAGTGACCAGCCCAGGATTCGATCTCAGGTTTAGGACTGAGACCCAAACTGGCCGATGGTCTGCTCCATACCATGCATGGCATGGCCAGTAGATAGATGAGGATCTATCTGAAGTGATCTCTCTCTCTCTGGGTCATTTAGCTCTGGGTCATCTCTTTCTGGGTCATTTAGCTCTGGGTCATCTCATGCTCTTGGTCAGCTCTCAGTCTCTCAGACACTTGGGCTCTTATCTCTGGGATTGCAGTTTCAGAACTCTTCCTGCCCTGGGATCATTAGCCAGGAACGGGCTGAGCCTTGGTCACTGGGTGGTGAGCAGTATTACTGTGTATCACTCATTTGTATATTTGTGTATATTATCTCTTTTTTTTCAATTTTATTGTAGTTATTAAATTGTTCTTATTCCAACCCACAAGTCTCTTTTCCCTTTATCCCTTTACTTCTCTTCCCCATCTCCAGGAGAGGGGAGTGTGAGTGAGCGGTTGTTGGGGTGTTTTGCTGCTGGCCAGGGTCAGAACCATAACATTTTCTCTCCCGGTTTCTGTCTCTTACAGTGCTCCACACTGCAGGTCACATAGTGAACGTCTACATCTTCTCAGTCACACCTCTCAGCGTGTTGTCCTGCCTCTTCTCCAGTGTCTTTACAGATGATGGGTAGGTGAAACTGAAAGCGCAGACCAGCCAGAGTGTCCTGGGCATGGACAGGAGTGAAAGTAGAAACCAGGAGTTTGCTCTGGCCACTCCATGGTGCAATCTCTTGTCCCTCTCCAGGTCACAGCTCCCACAGAAGTATTACTGGTGGTTCTTCCAGACTATCCCAGGTGAGACCACCTAGCAGGCAGACCTGCATGCCTGTGCCCAGGACAGGCAGCCCTCTGCCCAGCCCAGGCAGAGCCCCTGTGGGAGTGCCCTGACCCCTCCCTGGACCTCCCAACCCCTTTCTCTCACAGGCATGACGGGAGTGCTGCTGCTTGTGATCCTGGCCATGATGTACGTGTTTGCCACCCATCAGCCTTTCCTCATAAGGGAGATGCCCAACCCCTTTCTCTCACAGGCATGACGGGAGTGCTGCTGCTTGTGATCCTGGCCATGATGTACGTGTTTGCCACCCATCACTTCCGACGCATCAGCTTCCAGGGCTTCTGGATCTCCCACCACCTCTATGTGCTGCTTTACATCCTGGTAAACCATTTGGGCTGGGAGGGAGGGGTGGTGCTGACACACTGCAAGCTCACAGGTCAGTCCAGGTGATGAGGTGAAATAGCTGGGGAGGTCCCAAGGGAGCTGGTGAACCCCATACCTGGCTCCCTGCTGCTGCTGAGCTGCCACCAAATCAGCCATGGGGTGATGGCTTGCCATGCTGAGGGGGATTGCTCCCTGCCCAGGTCATCATCCACGGCAGCTACGCACTGATCCAGCAGCCCCGCTTCCACATCTACTTCATCATCCCGGCTCTCATCTACAGTGCGGACAAGCTGCTCAGCCTGAGCAGGAAGAAGGTGGAGATCAGCGTGGTGAAAGCTGAGCTCCTGCCCTCAGGTACCCCATCGTCCTGGACCATATGGCACCAGCTCAGCCCAGGCTCTTTGCAAGAGCACTGGGGGCTGCAGTGATGGAGGAACCCCCACCACTCAGTGTCTCCACCTTAACGAAGTCACCATCCCCATCCCTCCCCAGATGTCACCCACCTCCGGTTCCAGCGGCCTCAGGACTTTGACTACAAGTCCGGGCAGTGGGTGCGCATCGCCTGCGTGGCCCTGGGCACCACTGAGTACCACCCCTTCACCCTGACCTCGGCGCCGCACGAGGACACACTGAGCCTGCACATCCGGGCTGTGGGGCCCTGGACCACCCGCCTGCGGGAGATCTACTCCCCAGAGAGCCTGGCCCTCATCGGCAAGCTGCCCAAGGTGAGCCCCATGCTGCTTCTCCAGAGACAGGGACATCTGAGCCCAAGGGCATCTTGGCAATGGGTTGTGCCCAGCCCAGGGTGCTTCTCCAGCCTTGAAGGCAGCTGAGACCTGGGCAAGCAGAGGCAGGAGATGCTCTGCTGACAGCTCGTTCCCTTCCAGCTCTATCTGGATGGGCCCTTCGGGGAGGGCCACCAGGAGTGGAACAAGTTCGAGGTGTCGGTGCTGGTGGGAGGAGGCATCGGGGTGACGCCCTTCGCATCCATCCTCAAGGACCTGGTCTTCAAGTCATCCATAAGCTCCAAGCTGCTGTGTAAGAAGGTAGGAGGAAGCATCTGGAAGACAAGAGCCCTCCTGAGACGCCTCCTGCTGCTGCTGGCCTCTTTGGGGGTAAAATCCTCCACGACTGGTCTGGGAAGGAGCCCCACACACACTCATAAGGGTGTTGGCCCCATCCCCATGTGCCACAGATCTACTTCATCTGGGTGACACGTACACAGCGGCAGTTTGAGTGGCTGGCAGACATCATCCGCGAGGTGGAGGAGGCAGACAGGAACGACCTGGTCTCCGTGCACATCTACATCACGCAGCTGGCCGAGAAGTTCGATCTGCGCACCACCATGCTGGTGAGCCTGGCCACCCGCTGGGGAGGCTGCCGTGCCACGCTGGGGCACGCTGGGCCATCTGACGTGCATTGATCTCTCTTCCAGTACATCTGCGAGCGGCACTTCCAGAAGGTGCTGAACAAGAGCCTGTTCACAGGGCTGCGCTCCATCACCCACTTTGGGCGCCCTCCCTTCGTACCCTTCTTCAACTCGCTGCAGGAGGTGCACCCCGAGGTCAGTGCCCAGCTGGGGACAGGAGGAGGAGAGGACTGGTCCCAGCCTGTCCCCAATGCCCTAGAGACCTTGGCGGCATCCGCACCAAGGGCAGGGCAGAAGGGGCATGAACCCCAGCAATGCCCCATGCCAGCCAAACACCCCCCCGCTGCAGCCACTGCCCAGAGCTGGCAGAGACCCTGGGGGGGAGCCCATCATTCCTCCATGTCCCCAGCAGCTCCATGAGGAGGTGACAAACTCCTCAAAAGCCTCCTCAGGCTGGGACAGTCTGCTCGACTGGCATCCATGCCCAAAGCTGACAGAGGACAAGGGGTCAAGGGGGACAGGGTTGGGAGGAGAGCTGGTGCTCCTGGGTTTGACCCCTTTGGCTCCCTCCTTCCCCAGGTGCAGAAGATCGGGGTGTTCAGCTGTGGCCCACCTGGGATGACGAAGAGCGTGGAAAAGGCTTGTCGGCAGCTGAACAGGAAGGACCAGACCTACTTTGCACATCACTATGAGAATTTCTGATCCTACCCCATGCCATTTCACCCCCCGGGCTGCAGTCGTCATTGGAGATGTGTGTTCAACCCCAGCACCTGTGCAGCAATGCTTCTGGTGGTCACAGTCCTGGGCTCCCACCCACCGCCATCCATGGTTGAGAGCATGGATGCTGAGACCTGCAGAGCTAAGACCAGCACATGGTGCACCAGTAAAGCGTTTCCATCCCAGCATTGCCCCACACAGCCCTAGTGTGACCCCCTGAGCCCAGGGCATCCCTCTGCCACCCGCACACTCCTGTAGCCCCACACCCAGGGTCAGGCTGCCGTGTCCCAATCCAGAAAACCCAGTGTTTGTGTGAAGCCTGGCTCTACCACCTTAATCCTGCAAGACAGAGCTTGTGCTGTGCCAGGTGGCTTGGGGAATGTCTCAGAACAGCTTTGGGAAACTGCTTGGTGCCTGCACAACCTGAGTTCACAGCACTTTGCCCCAAGACCCATGTGGTGCACACAGGGGGTGAGGAGCCAGAGAGCTCCCCATAATCCCTCTCCTCGAAACAGGATCACCTTTCCCAAAGTGCATTCTTTAGTGCTCTGAGCTTTCCCTGGGTTTATGTAGGGCCTTAGTCGTGTTTGCATTGTCTTCTTTCAGCAGTGTCACCACCCTTTCATCAGGGATCATTTGTGCTTATTTAACTAATGCCCGGCTTTGCACCACTGGGCTGCTTCTCTTTCAAGCTGTAATTGAGCTTAAATAAAGCTGATTGAAATTTTAACACATATTCTTGCCTCCTGCAATTGGGTCTTGGTCACCTGGAGACTTGCGCTACTGGTGGCATAGCGCTGGCCTTGCTCTTGTTACGGGGTATCTGCACCAGCCCACTGGGAAATGGGTTAAACAGGAGTGGGCTTCCTCCGAACTGGTCATGCACATGGGGTGGAGGTGGGGGGATACAGATTTGGGCCCAGGCACAGCCCCATAAACCGTGTCCTATGAGGCTCAGCACCCCCAGCAATGCCCCGATGGTGGCAAAGCCCCCCAGCAAGACCCAATGTAGGACTAAACTACAGCCAAGGGGCCCAAAGAGGCTGAGCCCTGGGAATAGTTTCAGTCCTTGGGTGTTAAACAGCCCCCACCAAGACCAGCAGGAGTAGCTCTACATTTCACTGTAATAACAGGATCTTTAGATAGCCAGCAGACCCCCAGCCATGCCAATGGGGCTCCCCCCAGCACAGGAGTTGGGGGCCAGGAGAAGCAAGAAGCCCCGGCTCTCACCCGAAAAACCTGGGCAGCCTCCCCCTCCCCAGCCATCACACACCCTTCAGCAAGGTGCATTTTAGCAGTTCTTGGACGGGCTCTGCTAACACCACACCTGATTATGGGGCCAGGCTCCTGGGTAGGTTTTACCTGCTCAGGGTGACACATAACAACCCAGTTTACTCTGAGCAGTACTTTATAGAATCATAGAATCACAGAATGGTTTGGGTTGGAAAGGACCTTAAAGCTCATCCAGTTCCAACCCCCCTGCCATGGGCAGGGACACCTCCCACTAGCCCAGGTTGCTCAAAGCCTCATCCAGCCTGGCCTTGAACCCCTCCAGGGATGGGGCATCCACAGCTTCTCTGGGCAACCTGGGTCACTGCCTCACCCCCCGCACAGGGAAACATTTCTTCCTAATATCTCATCTCAATCTCCCCTCTTTTACCTTAAAACCATTTCCCCTCATCCTCATCAGTGCAACAGCCCAGGGGTCTGCACAGCCCCCAGGGCCCAAAGTCAGAGACCCCTTCAGCCCCCCCACCCAACATGTCACTGCACACAGACAGATCAGGTAGGCAGCATTTATTGAGGGAAGTCCAGTACCGGCCCAAGAGAGGGACTCATCTCCCAGTATTAAAATTAACGTGACTGTAATCAAAGATTAATTTTGTTATGTGCAACCTGCTACCTCACGAGTACCTCGTTCATGGCTCACAAACAGGCCTGATAACCCCAAAAGGTTACGATTTGCTTGCAGTGGTAAAACCTTTCAGTGATGCTGGCCCCTTACTTCTCACCTGCGCTTCCCTCCATGCTAAAAGCAAGCTGTGAGCCCCACAGCAGCCCCTCCTTGGGAGCCAGGTAAGGAGAGGGCTGTCTGTGCTCCCAGTCAGACATGGTCCTTTCCGCCCCCCAGGGAGCTGCTGAGGGGCAATGACAGCAGATATGGTCCCAGCTGGCCTCCAGACTCCTCAAAAAAGCCCTGGGCTCTGGGCTTTGGGCCCGCAGTTCACAGTTTGCAAAGAGCATGGAGAGAATGACCTGAATATGCAGATGGGCTGGCCAGGCTTTGTTCCACAGGCTGTGACAGTCCCTGAGTGTCCCCAAGGGAAGACAGGACTGGAAGGGGGAACATTCACGTTGGGCTATCCCGCACCCAGGGACTGCCATGTGGGAAGAGCTGTGGCAAGCACAGCTCCAGAGCAGTGCTGGGGCGGGAAGGTGGAGCGCCAGCATCTCCAGCCTCGCTTCACGCATGCAGCTGGTGACACCTTCCCGCAGCGCGTCCACACGGACAAACCCCCCAGCCACGCAGGCGGCTCTGCCTGACCCACACAGAGACACCTGGGTTCTTCTGTGCGTGGGGTCTGCCAGAGAAGAGCCAACTGTGCGAACCATCATCTCTAACCAAACAGCAGTGGTTTGATTCAAACTATTCCCTATTGGTTCTTCATTTGTAGTTACCTGCTAATACTCTAATGGTGCATCCCTTGGTGTCCTTCACCCTCATAATCATTTGATTTTCTAGCTCTATTACAAAGCAGCGCCTGCATAAGGGGACTGTGTAAACACGCAACAGCCATACATCAGCCTCCTGCGGCCTCATGCTTCGCATCTCAGGCAGGCGGTGTAACAGGGGAAAGGGCCAGGCAGGGTGGCACCTCAGGGGTTCTGGTCGGTGGGGTCACACTTCAGCATGACTTTGACCCCCTCGCCCCTCTTGGTGGTCTCGAACGCCTCAAGAGCCTTTTCCAGGGGGAAGCGGTGTGTAACCAAGGGTTTGACGTTGATCCGCTTCGATGCAAGCATAGCAATTGCCACAGGCCACCTGCAAGGAAAACAGAGAGCAGGAGATGAGAGCAGTCAATAGTCTGGAGCCCCAAGGAAAGAGCACGGAGGAGCCTGGTTTCATTACAGTACTTTCCTCAGACCAAGCAACCAAGTTTTGCCCACAAACAATCTTCTGGAGGGAGAAGCTCAAGCATCAGGCATGGGAGATTGGACAAGCCAACTGCTTTGGGCTGTCAAGCACTGAGAAGGCAGCACTGCTAGATGCAGATGGTGGTGCACGATGCTGAGCAAGTGAAAATCACAGGAAACAACTGTACTCCCGAGGCACCGAAAGAAAAACAAAACTGCTGTGCGCTGCTCCTCTCCCTCCCGGCCTCCTTGCTTGCAGACTGATCACTGTGGAGCTCAAACTCAGGGATTCAGTGAAGGGAGAAGAAAGGAAAAGTCTCAGTCAGCTTCCAACTGCTTCTTTGGTGGAGACTCATGAAATTTGATTGCCTTGCCACTCCATTTGAATGGTCCAAGTGAGAGGGATGGGGATACACAGGCATGCAGCATCTAATCTAATTCCCAAACCACCTACTTAAAGACATTTCTCATTTTAAGAAGGAGCTTGACTACATCTCGTAAGTCCTTCCTGGAAAACAACCTCTACAGACTAAGCAGATTCTTGCTCCGCTAGCAAGAACCTACAGCTCTGAATAGAGCAGAAACCTGGCTGCGAGTGTGCAGCGCTGGGTCTCAAGCCCTGCCCAAGGGGAACAGGACCGAAGAGAGCACAGCGGAGATACTCCTGCCTTCAGGGCAAGGCCAGCTTTCAGTACACTCAAAGACCTGCCTGTCCAGGAGCAGCGCAGTCCAGTTCTCTGCAGGGAGCACAGACACCTTCAAACTGGCTCCAGATAGACCTTCAGCTCCAGGAAAATGATGAAGACTAAACAAGGCTCTTGCTCACCCAAGTATTTGCTGATTTCCAACAAGATTGATGATATGATTTCTCTCCACGACCAGCAAGGAGAGCAGAGCCGGGCACCACCAGCAAAGCTTGACACCAGATGTGGCACTTGGGATTTCGACTCTTTGCTCAGAATTAAGAATCTCCATGCCACCTGCCTCAAAACTGTCCATATAACAGTTAGGAAGGTGGATGCCAGGAGGCAGACAGCTTTTCACAAAATATTGGCGGGGGCTCAGTGCCAGGCCAACCTGCTGCTAAGAGATCTCCCAGCAGAAGGGATTGAAGGGTTGAAGCAGCTAAAAGCTGTACATTCTTCCCTGCTATGCCATGAGCCAGCACACTTGTGGACAAGCCAGTCTCCTCCACAACACCTCCAGCACCTGGCCTTCCCTTTCTACAGGGCATAAGGGTGAAGGCACAAATGGTTTTGTTTTGGTTTGGTTTTTTTCTCCGTTTTGGCCTCCTTGTTTGCAGCAGAGTAAGGGTTTGTTGGGTCTCTTCCTTCCTTTGCACCAAATGCTGTGTGAAACGGGACAGTGGGACAAACCAGCTGGGCTGCTGTGCAGTGCAAGGCTCGTCCAGAAACCAAGGCATAAAATGCAGGACACGGCAGTCAGTCTGTCTGTATTTCCAAGTGACATGAGGAAAACCAACCATTTCCACATCCTCTCTCCTTGTAGAAAGCAGGAATTTCTTAAGGACAGACTTGGAGACACATCAGCCCACCCTGCATGAGACTCACGTGTTGCAGTAGCGGAATATCCCCCGGATATCCACCTCTCGCACGGCGGCGTTCACAATGGGCACAGTGACCATGTCAGGCCCCAGCCCCACAAGCACCAAGGTCCCACCAGAACGAGTGGCCTGGAGAACAAACAGAAATATGTCATATTTTGCAAAAAACAGTTGCCAGAGTCTACACAGAAGTCTATAAAAAAATAAAGCGATATTTTGTGGCTGTAATAGACTGTTCAGGGCACAGCGGAGAAGCCAGGGGAGAGGCAGGATGCTGTCAGGAGCGCAGAAGTGTGAAACATACAACAAACAAAGCTTAAAAGCAATCTTTCAAAAATCCCTGAAGGATTTTGGTATCTAAATCTCATTCTGAGAAAGGACTGACACTTAGGAAAAGTACTTTCAGATTTCAGTGGGAGAGTTTTAAAACTAAGACCCTGATGCTCCACTGGAATTTCTTTTTTTGCAGCTTGTCCCATTTGCCTCCTGTCCTGTCATTGTGAAACTCTGCACCACCTTCTCCACACCCTCCCGTGAGGCAGTTCGTAGCAGCAAAACATCCCCTCCTTAATGGCTTTCTTCACCTGCTGGAATTAATTTTCTTAATTATTCTCCTTACTTGGACATAACTTCAACTTAATGAAAGATGCTGCCCTACTTGTACCAGCTGCCTGACACTGCTGTGTAGCCAGGCTTGGGTTTCAGGGTCTTACTTTGTAGTCTCTTTGGTAAGTGGTAAAGCACCTGAGGATCAAATCAGACAATTATCTCCATGCTGTCTGCAAAGACATTAACTCTTTAATTATCTGTCTTAATTTGTTCTCTAATGAGCACCTTCTCTCCCCCACACCAAGGCCATTGAAATTAAACACTGTGGGAGAGAAATAACTGTCATTCACTGCTGCATCCCAGAAAGAGGAAAAGCAATGCCATCACTGCTCTGCCCAGGGGACAAGTGGTACTCACATAAATGCCAGCCTGGATGCAGGCTTGCACTCCCGTACACTCCACAGTGATCTCGGGCATGCAGCCAAGCAGACTTTCCACTTTGGAGGCTACCTCCTGCGGGCTCTCGTTCTTCACCTGAATGGTGAAATCTGCCCCCACCTCCTTGGCTTTTTGCAGGCGAGAGGCAGATAAATCTGGGGAAAGACAAAATAAGTCAAGAACCGGAGTGTTATGTGAAGCAGAAGGGGAGAAAGAACCTGAGCCTGCAATCTGCTTCCTACCCCCATCTGATGTCTCAACAGATCACCTTGTTTGGTGGCCAGCTGTCAACTGTCTCAGGAGAGAAGACAGCATTTGGTACGTGGTAGGACAAGATCACAGAATCATAGAATCCCAGAATGGTTTGGGTTGGAAGGGACCTTAAAGACCATTGAGTCCCCCCCCTGCCATGGGCAGGGACACCTCCCACTAGCCCAGGTTGCCCAAAGCCTCATCCAGCCTGGCCTTGAACCCCTCCAGGGATGGGGCATCCACAGCTGCTCTGGGCAACCTGGGCCACTGCCTCACCACCCGCACAGGGAAACATTTCCTCCTAATATCTAATCTAATCTCCCCTCTTTCAGCTTATAACCGTTACCCCGCGTCCTGTCACAACATGCCCTTGTAAAATGTCCCTCCCCATCTCTCCTGTAGCCCCCTTTCAGCACTGGAAGGCTCCTATTAGGTCTCCCCGGAGCCTTCTCTTCTCCAGGCTGAACAACCCCAAATCTCTCAGCCTGTCCTCATAGGGGAGGTGCTCCAGCCCTCTGACCATCTTCATGGCCTCCTCTGGACTCGCTATGACGGGAAACTGCAGCCCACTAATACCTTCTCAAAAATTTATGTAGACGACCCAGACCAAAGGGCTTCCCACAGAAGAGACCTGCTCACTTTTCTGGTCAGGCAGAGAAGGACAAGCAATGAGGACAACTCAGGAGATGTCAAAAGCTTGATGTTGTGCTTCAAAGAGGTTAAAGTATAAAGATGAGACCCACATCACACAAAGCAATGTCCAAGCAAAGGAACGGCTGTCACCGCTAGACGCGAGGGGTTTCCTCTCTAAGAACATCAGTTCATAGATCTCCCAGTTTCTCTTTGGTACTTCAGGAGCACCAAGAGTGTGCCAAGACAAACTCGAAGGCCAAGCTTAACTCCAAAGGGTGTGCACATCGATACAGGAACTGCGGCAGGAACAGCCATGGGCAAGTGCTGGCATGCTGCTGTGCCTGCCCTGGATCGCAGGAGGATGTACCAGCCAAGATCTCCTAGACCCAAGATTGAGAGGTGGGCGATGTCCCCTGCCAGAGGTCCTAGGCTTCGATGCCTTTGCCAGGGGCACACTTGTCTCCAGGATACACAGCATACTCACAACAAAGAATAAACCACTGCTCTCACTGGGATGCAATCTTCAGAGAAGTCAAAGATGGGGATAGGGGGAAACATCAAGGGAAAAGAGAGGTTCTCCTCCCCCTCTACTCTGCCCTGGTGAGACTGCATCTGGAATATTGTGTCCAGTTCTGGGCCCCTCAGTTCAAGAGGGACAGGGAACTGCTGGAGAGAGTCCAGCGCAGAGCCACAGAGATGATGAAGGGAATGGAGCATCTCCCTGCTGAGGAAAGGCTGAGGGAGCTGGGTCTCTTTAGCCTGGAAAAGAGGAGACTGAGGGGTGACCTAATTAATGTTTATAAATACGTGAAGGGTGAGTGTCAGGAGGATGGAGCCAGGCTCTTCTCTGTGACATCCAGTGATAGGACAAGGGGCAATGGGTTCAAGCTGGAACATAGGAGGTTCCACTTGAATATGAGGAAAAACTTCTTTACAGTGAGGGTGACAGAGCACTGGAACAGGCTGCCCAGAGAGGGGGTGGAGTCTCCTTCTCTGGAGACATTCAAAGCCCGCCTGGATGCGTTCCTGTGTGAGCTGATCTGGGTGTTCCTGCTCCGGCAGGGGGATTGGACTAGATGATCTTTCGAGGTCCCTTCCAATCTCTAACACTCTGTGATTCTGTGATTCTGTGAAAAGAGAAGGAGAACAAGGCCGCTACTCTGATGTGAGCTGCTCTGACTCAGCCCCAGTGCTGGGAGGAAGCCAGGTCAGAGGACCTGCCCTGCCCATCACACAGCGAATGTGACATTATGCATGACACAGGGCAGGTGATGGACATGTCCCACCAGCAGCAGAAGGGCTTGGGATGCCAGGTGCGGGCACATCCACTGAGATGAGCACCCAGGAGATCTCTAGAGGGAGTTTCAAGAAGTGAAAGTAATAAAATGCATATGAAGGAGGAAAAGCTAAGGCTGAAAAGTAAGGGCAGCATCATCCCAAAAGCCTCAACGTGGGCTCTTGTGGCTGCAGAGGGCATGAGTCACATCTGTCCCTCCCCAGGTTTGAGCATTGGGCCTCCAGCTGCGTGTACGGTCATGCTCGACCCTCTGCTAGCAGAGCTGTGCTCAGAGACCTCCCAGGCAGCAAGAGCTGCTATTTTTGAGGCATCTGAAGAGCTAAGTAGCACTTTTGCGTGGCATGGCAGGTGTCTGCCAAATCTCAGTGTACAGCAAAGAGATCAGAGGGGCTCAACGGTGTTCCCAGTAATGGACCGAACTGCCCATGAAGCACTCTGCTCAAAACACCAGGGTGCCGCAGAGATAGCTGGATTCAGCTGTTTGCAGTATCTGCCCACTTGCTGATATATTTTATACTGTCTCTTTGGCAGGAATACATCCACAGGCAGTGTCCTGGAGAGACAGGCTGTCCTGCTAGCCAATGAATTTCAAAGTATCCACAAAAACTGCTCTCACGCAGCAAAAGCCCTCACCTCTCCTACAGCTGGCCCCTGGTTTGCTGACCTGCTCGGGAAGGAAGCCATCGCATTGGAGAGGCACACAGGACACAGCAGCAATACCATCAGACCCGTCAGGATTGTGATAACATCCTGGTCCACCTGGCCTAAGTGAATCACCACTAAGCACCTACTGAAGCTGACAGATCTGCAGGGTATCAAATGAGAAGGTTACCATGTTGTTTAGAGCTCCAGACACTTGTGAGTCTTGAGAAGGACCAACTCTTTCAGATTTTACACCTTACTGTGGCTCAACTACACACAAGTCTTGGGAAACTGGTCAGTTATACAATTAAAGGGTTGCATCTCACCTCTGGTCAGACATTTGTTTTCACTGCCCGGCCACTGGAGCTAATTAAAGTTTTGGCTGCCAGACTAAGAGTAGCCAATTCCTGTATCTCTGCTCTCACGGAAGTTATCAAATTACATTTAAGCTTCTTGTGATGGTTTATGAGCCAACTTAGCAGGCAAATATTCTTGAAGCTCGCACCCTTCTTATATTGATATTCTTTCACAAGGGAGTTGAACTCTATCCAGTTATTCATCTTTCCTGACCTTGACGTCAAGGGTTTCTGGAGGCACCGGCACTGAGGACTTCAGATTTAGATAGCATAAGGGGAATAGTTTCCCTTAAGTAGTAATTATTAAGTGACAGAGTAAGGCAAGACAGCCCAAAACTGCCATACGAATACCCAAACCGTCACTTCACTTGCTGGGGAATAAGGCTGCTCTTTTATGGGCCTCTAAGGAGAAAAGCAGCTTTTCAGAGCAACAGGAATATCCACAGCAAGGCAGAAGGACAGGAGAAGGTTGGCCATAAATATCAACCACACCCACTCAGCAGCAGAGTGGAGAAAGCCATAGACCTTAGGGAAGAGGAGATGAGGAACTACGAAACAAACCCATCTTCAGCACCCAACTGCAGGCCACTAAATACACCAACCTTCCCCGCCTCAAAAGGAAGAACACTGCTCTGCCAGGAATAAAGCACGTCAGGGAGAAGAGCAAAGGTTATCAGGAGCACTAATATCTTTTATCAGGCAAGCTGCCGTATCTGGGAGGATACACAAGCTTTAGCGCACCCAGGCCTTTGGAAGGGTAGGGCTGAACGTTCATCTCTAGCTACAGTGCCAGCCGCTCGCCAGGAGTCCCAGAGAAAGGATCCAACCCCTCAGCAGAGACGTAACTTTCCAAAATTCGTTGACACCAGGTGTGCCAAAGCCATGCTCCACAGAAGCTGTAGGACGTGAGTTCTCCCCAGGTCAGGAAAAAGCTCTTCTAGATGCTTCTGTATTTGCACATGGCTTGTCAAAACAAACACAAACATTTAAAGCCTTAAGTGCTGTGCGGACAAAGCTCCTCACAGACAAACACGTCATAAAAACTCTGGGCAATGAACTGAAAGAATCTGGTAGCAAAATACAGGAGGGCCTTTGTGGCCAGACAGTGACCTCAAAGGTGTTGGCTCCTAAAGCCGACACAAAAAGCAGTTCCTTGAAAAGGGCAGCAAAATCCCCAGTGGCAATGAGCCAAACTTAAACCCATTCCTCAGCAAACGTCACATACAAACATTTGACTAAGGACAGCACCTCCATGGGTGTCGCTGACCAACTCAGCCAAACACCTCCCAGGCTGGAGATGACTACAGGTCAGGATCATTACCTAGGCCAAGGTGTAAAGATAAGAAGGGGTTAATTCCATGTAGCTGAGCTTGTTGACCCTACAAACCAGGTACCAAAACTTCCCATGGCCACCTGGAGCCCTATGGTACACGCTACACAGACCTGCTTGCTAAAGGTCCCCAAGAGCAGTCCACAGGCAAAGGCAAGAGCAGCTTCCAGTTTTACAGGAAAGAATACATCCAGGCAGGATCAGGAATGGGGCGGCAGGGTGACCAGCAGCCCCACCAAGCCCTGCCAGCTCACCAAGCCCTTCCCCACCCAAGGATCGGGTCACCCACCAGCCCTTGTGCCAGCTCAGCTCAGCAGCAAGGTTCTTCATACATGATTCAAGAGGCAGAGTTGCTTTTCCTGCTATAGCAACCATCATCCTCAAATGGCAACACTTCACAAAATCTAAAGCTTGGACTGATCACGTCCACTGAGCACACGCCTGCAGGGTGGGGCCAGCAGAGCAAGAAATCCTGGATTCGGTAGCAAGAGGATTTAGGGAGGAGAAGATAACAATCTGCCTTAGGTTTTGACATGAGCTACTACTGAAAGATGCTTCTGCAAAGGCAAGAGGGTGGGACCTGAATTTTGTCTTTCAACCCAAGGATGGGAACCCAGTAATAGAGAGGTCAAAAATACACCTGGCCCAAAGTGTGGATGGTGGAGTAACAGCCTTCTGAAAGGTCCATGTTGTGGCTTTGGCCCAAAAACATCACAGAAACCTGTGCTCGTTGTCTAGTCATACCCGTAACCACTCCTCCCAGCCACCACTGCTCGGAAGGATCAAAGAGCAGTGGAAACAACACTTGCAGGCCCTGTCCACATCCCAGGTTTGTCCAAACCAGGGAACCCCCTGAGGTTACTCCAGCCCTCTGTTCTTCTGGGCAAGCTACATGGACAAGAGCCTGACCTTTGAGGAGAGGCGGAGGGAGCTGGGCTTGGTCAGCAGGGCGAAGGAAAACGGGGATCACATGACTCTCTGAAACAACCAGAAGGGCAGCTGCAAAGAGGATGGAGACTCATTTTAGCAGACAATATGAGGGGAAATAACCCCAAATGACAGTTTGTGAGTGGACGCCAGAAAAAGCTTCTTCATTAGGAGGTGGTGCAATCCTGGAGCAGGTACCCAGAAAGGTGTGATTTCCATCCTCAGCAGCCTTCCAGGCACAGCTAGACAAGAACCCGGCAGTAAGTGGCACTGGACTAACCTTCAGGGGAGAGTTATGCAAGCAAGGACCATTTCTGAAAAAGCAGGGACCCTGAAAAGGTCATTTCAGTCACTGCGGATAGTCAGTGGAAAATGAACCCATATCAGGACAGCAGAAAGAAGGGCAGCAGAAGCGAACCAGAGAGGGACAATGTGGCTCAACACAGAATGGACTGTGAAAACATGTGTCCAGGTCATCACACAGCACTGCGAGGGGAAGAAAAAAACCTGCTCAGAGCAAACCTCCAAACAGAGTATAAAATACGCTGTGTTGCCTTCTCTGCACACCTAGGTGGAGACTAGAAGCAGATATAACCAAGGTCTATAAGTACTACAGAGAAGACAAAACCTGAACCTCAAGGCTTGATCTAGTAGCCAAAGGCAAAACACAAAGCTGTGCTCAGAAGAGCACAAAACTGGAAAAAAAAAAAAACAGTGATCAGATGCACCAGGAGCAAGTGGAGCTTCTGTAACTCAGTGCTTTATTATACAGATGCATTGCCTCTTCCCAAAAGACCTTCTCAAAGTCTTAAAAAGGCCTCTAAGCTTGATCCAAAGACCACTCCTTAGCCTCTGGTTTATTCTCCTTGAAACACAGTAGCTACTCCATCCGCACAACTTGTCTGTGCTAGGAAGCAGAAGTTATTACCCGGGTCTGCTAACCTAGCAGAGAAGCACCAGTTGCAACCTGCACCTTCTTACAGATTCCAGTTAGTGCAAAGATCAAAGTCTTGTCCTGGGGAATGAGGTGTTTCTTAGGATTCCCTCCAGACTACTACCTCAATCACAAAGAGACTTTCCATTGTGCTTGGGCTGCCTTCCTCAGCAGCTACCTTGAAGGAATAATGTGGAACTAGACAAAATGTTGTATTGTGGGAAACAGGCACACTCTTAACGGTTTAAAAGGCCTTACCTGTAATTACCACAGCCGCTGCGCCCATCATCTTAGCAACAAGCACGTTAACGAGGCCAATTGGTCCTGGGTACAATGGGAGAAAGAGAACATATACAACTGCCAGACAGCACCAGCCGCAGAACGTGCCCAGAGCTTAGCATGTTCCTGGGCTAAAGGAGACTCTGACTGTGTTTCCAGCTCTGGGATCACAGCATCACCACCATCCCAGAGCAGTGAGACCAGTGGTTGAGAGAGCAGCTATTGCTACATGAGGGACTCCACAAGGAAAACACCACCCGCTCCTCTGCTCCCTCGAGTCATCAGGCTCAGCACACCCAGACCCTGCGCTTTGCACTTGGGCTGCTCAAAATGCAGCACTCCAGTGCAGCATGACCACTGGCAGCCTCAAGGTCCCTCATGGCATCCCTGTAATTCTGCGGGGTGTCTGCCTGCCAGATGGGTTGAAACGACAACACCCATGCTCACAGCGGAGCCTTAGAAGCACAGCTTTGCACCCTGTCCATCCCTCTCCATGCCACGGCAGGCAGAAAACCCAAGGTCTGAATACGTTCATGTCGTGGGTAAGGACCGAGCAGCAACCGTGTGCCACGTGCTTGCTCCCTTCCCCCCCACCTTGCCCCCTCCCAATAACATGGGAGAAAGATGGAACCTCGTGAGCTGAGGTACCAACAGATTTTAATAATACAACACGAGAAAAAGAGAAGATTATAACAAACCAGGATTATAGAGTGAACACACAATGGAAAGACCTCACCGCAAAAATGCCGCACAAAAACGCCCACCCCTCTCCCGGCTAGCTTCCCCTTATATCCCAGGCATGACACCAGCATGGTATGGAATATCCCTCTGGCTATGGCCACCTCCCAGCTCCTGTGAAAATTAACCCTATCCCAGCTGAACCCAGGACAGTTCACCATACCAGAGCCGGACACAAAGACTTTACTTCCCAGCGTGACTCCTCCCCTTTTGCAGGCATGGATTCCCACCGAAAGAGGCTCAATAAGGGCTCCTTCTTCAAAGGTGACATTATCTGGAAGCCTGCAAGAACCAGACACAAGCAACAATCACCAAAGAGGTTTATGAGGGTGATGAGGAAAGCCACGACCAAAAATGGGTCTAAATCACAGCGGCAAAATATACTCTCAGCCTTGGTCTGAGAAATGCAGGGTTGGAGGTCATTTCAAGAGCTTATATTGCCTTCTTCCCTCCTCTGAAGCAGCATCAAATACACCTCAACCATTTACCAGTGAGGTTTGCCTAAGCACCCAGCACAGGAATCCACAAATTCTCCCACACCATCTCTCCAGTACTTGGTGAGTCAACCCGAAAACTCCTTTGCTGCTCATTCCCTTTGGAATAAGTGCCACAGTTGTGTACATACCATCTCGAAGGCTGCCCCATGGCTGGGACCCATCAGGGAGCTCCCAGACCCTTCATCTGGGTTGAATCATTCATGTCTACACTTTTAGAAAACATCTTGCTGCCAATGCCACATAAAGCAAAGGCAGCCAGATCCAGGTCTCCCCATCACACCCTGGATGTCCTCCCGATGCACCAAGTGCTTCAACCAGAGGACTGGTCCCAGCATGCACCCTCCCTGCAGCCAAGGAAAATGTGTGCAGTGGCTGTCAAACACCTTCTGGACAGAAACAGCACCATAATGCAGCTAGCCTAAGTGATGGAAAAAAGCAGAGCGGGGTGAGACCCTTCTGAACTGCTGACAGAAATAAATTCAGAGGCACTGAAGGGCTAACTCCAAATGTTTGGTTGCCTGAGAGTTTGGCATCGCATTTGCTCCTACGGGGTATGGGTACTGCCCCACGAACAGGGAGGGCAGCTTTGCAGCACAATCCCACCTCCAACAAATTACTCAGAGTAGCCAACACAGAGCCTGTCTGCCTGCAGAAGGACAAACAACACCTGCCCAAATATGTCAGAACTCACTGAGCTCAGCCATCACCTTTTCTTAGCAAATCTGTGCTGTCAGAGTGACTTCATGCCAGGGAATCTGCTCTGCATCCTACGGCCACAGTGTTGCCAATCTGAACCTGGGAGATCCAGGCTTTGCATGTCACAGCTTAAGAAAAAAAAAATTAGCCAAAGTAATATTTACTCAAACTGGAGAAAAAAAGTAGATCTCTCCCTGGAAAGAGACAGCTACAAACAAGTCGCTTCCTCCCAAGAAAAACTTGTGATGTTGTCACAAACTGTTATTTTAACACCACACAGGAAATCAGTGACAGCAGGTCTGGACAGTGCGTAGTCCCATCCAGACCAGCATCTCATCCTGACAGCAGCTGCTTGGGATCCGCTTTGGAAACAGCCTCCTGCCTGAGGACTCTTGTAAGAAGAGCATTCAAGTGCCTCCTCCTGACAGATTTGATCCTGAACGCTTCCCCTTCAGACACCAAAGCCCAATCCTGAGGAAATTCTTGCCCATGGAGGTACCAGCTCTGCACAGACTGAGAAAGAACAAGCTCCACATGCAGACCAGTCTCAGGGGGCCACTACCTTAGATTATTTTTAACTCCTTGTGTAAACGCACTGATACAGGTATAACATTGCAAAGGTTTATCTGGGTTTCTAGCATATTTGCCAAAGCACTTAAGCACAGACTTGCTTTTAAGCAAATGTGTCAGTCCTGCCACAATTAAGAACATACTCAGGCTTGCTGAATTGGATATGAAAACAGATGTGTGACGCTGGCAGCTGAGCAGGGCCACTCAGTGCCACATACAAAAGCAGCTTAGCAGGGACACTGCTTTCTGTTCCTGTTCTGCTCTATGTAGAGATGACTTTGTTTCAAATAACAGAGCGAGGTGTCAGCAGTCAACGTGGTGCTTCCTGAAGAGCAGCAGTAAAGTTAGCTCAGCTCAGAGAATCAGATAAATATCTTGAGGCACAGTCCTAAAAAGGCAAGGACATGAAAAGACAGCAGAAAAGAAACCAAGAGCAGGAAGCAAATGGGAAAAGGAAAATAATTACAGGCTAAAGCAGTGGTGACATCCCCGGAAACATGCAAGAAATGTTTGTTTATGTCTGGCACCGGAGGGGATAAACTACACCTGTCTGACAAACCCTTTGCAAAGTGGCTGCCATCCGAGTCTTACACATGTTATTTATGGATCAGAAAGCAAGAAAACCTGTTGTGTTCAAGTAAAGAGTGCTCACTGCAATACTCGGAAGGGCCAAGAGGCAATTGCTTCAGCTAATCCCCCCCAGGAAGTATGTATTTCTCTGCAGAGGGAGCACCGACTAACTTGTAGCAGTAGCTGGCATGGTGCTTGTAGTAGCGGCACAAGTTCCCATCATCGGGAGGCGTCGCACAGAAGAACAAGGTTGGAGACAGGTTATAGCGGCCAGTTTTGCAGAACTCATCCATTTCCCTGGGGACGCCAGGCTCAATGGCCACTCGATCACCTGCCAGGACAAAAGCAAACTGTTACTCAGGAAGAAGGTGGGCAGATAGGTATGAGTAGCACCGAACAACCCTGGAAGACAGCATGAAAGCCTGGTGCAAGAGAAGTACGAGGGACATCATAGAATCATAGAATCATAGAAT